GTGTGTGTGTGTGTGTGTGTGTGTGTGTGTGTGTGTGTGTGTGTGTGTGTGTGTGTGTGTGTGTGTGTGTGTCATATAGTATTCATCTCAGGCTTCTCTAGTTCTCAAAACATACGAGAGCACATTGGGTTTCGATGGATTTGCAAAAATATAAGGATTATAAGGTTGTAAGCAGAGGTGGGAAGTAACTCAGTACTTTTACTTAAGTGTGAAGTACAATTTTTGAGATACTTGTACTTTACTTGAGTATTTCAATTGTATGCTACTTTGCACTTCTACTCCACTACAGTTCAGAGTAGTGGACTTTTCCTCCACTACATGTATTTAATGCCTTTAGTTACTTTCCAGATCTGGATGAATGATGTGAAATATAATCAACTCAAGGTATTATATCTTGTGACCCTGTGTGAATTAAAATGATTAGTTACGATGCAAAGATTCGAGGTTCAGATGCTTTAGGCAAATCCCATTGTTTCTAATTGCCGATGTGTTTCTTATACTGTGGCAGTTTCCCTAAAATAGCCGAATGTATTGCTTATATTACAGTATCTCAATATATATATATAATTGTAACCATGAAACTTGATACAAATCTAACACCAGATTATCCTAATATGTAAAGAACTGTTCAGAACATTTTTGGACTGGATTTTTCCTCTGTAGTCCTGGGACAGATGTTGAAAAGTCTTGACTGAAAACAATCGTGACATTTAAAAAATAACAAGGGAATAAAGTCAATAGAAATAGATAGGGATGTCCCGATCACCTTTTTTTGCTCCCGATCTGATTCCGATCATTTGATTTTGACAATTTGCCGATACCGATTTTCCCGATCCGATCTTTATGCAATGCATTAAGAGAAAAAAAAGCATTCAAGTTGTGCCTTAAGGTTATTTTTTTATTTAAATTGGATATTCTATCCAACATGGATATAGCTTCTTTCTTTCACAGCAGCATTGGATCAGTTCAGTTGTGCAGCATTGGATCAAAACAAAATAAAGCTTATCAGTACTCGTTAGCTTACTGCTACAATTAGACACTGCGCCCACTCTGTTGCCAGATTTGAGAGAAATAAGCAACCAGGTCTATGAGAACAAGCCCCAAAGAAGCAACACATACATGATGTTGTGTAATTTGAAACCAAAACTAAGGCCTCAGGATGACTTTAAGACTTGAACAT